TCAAAACAAGTTTCAACAGCTATCAAAGGATGCACATGAGATACCATTGATCTTGAGCTAATAGACCCTGATATTGAGGTCAACAGCTGCTGGCACTTCTCAAACTGGTTTTTCAATTCAGTAACCTTGTGAAGCAAAAAGTAACTTTGTTAAACTAGAAGAAATGGCAAACTAACATGTATGATCAAATTATCATATAATGCATCAGTTATAATATGAACAAACCAATGCATCTGAGTGCTGATCTCGGTTTCCATTTTCAATAGCATCAGCTAAATTCTCCACCAACTGTAAGATGGCAATCAAAGTTAGAACAAAAGGTATCACTAAGAAATAAAAATGCCTCGTTACTCCACTGAAATAGCAATCCATAGATCATGGTTTTTGCCTAGTACTTGTAGAAGATGGAAGTGAGAGGCAAGTGATTGATGGTGCTGTTGTTGCTGCTGCTGCTGTTGTTGCATCTGCTGTTGCTGCTGCTGCTGTTGTTGCATCTGCTGTTGCTGTTGCATCTGCTGTTGATAGCGTTGTTGTTGTTGCTGCTGCTGATAGAGCTGTTGCGGTTGATTGAACTGTTGCTGCTGAAATTGCTGTTGCTGCAGAAATAATTGGTCTTGATTTGAGGGTGTGGAAGGATTACTGTGATTTTGGATGTTGGGGATCATTGTCCAACTACCTCCTCCAAAGTGGTCCATAGCTAATGGCTGTTGAGCTGGCAAACAAGAACCAGGTGCTACTTTTCGTTCTGAAAATGGATAAACAGAATTTAATATGTCATCAAATGTAATCCGGTACTATACAAATAGCCAAAACTAGTAAAACATGAACTGGTCTAACGGAATGAATAGCAAAGAGAAATAATTCAAAATAATCTGAAAGGTGTAACCACTTCATATCTTTCTTATCATTCCTTTTGATGAAGTAATTGTTATTAATAAAAGGCATCCAGAAGATGCAGAATACAAGGTAGCAAAAAAGTTAGCTCCAGAACAATGTCTATGCTAGAATCAGGGAGCTAACAAAATCCAAAAAATTATCAACACTGTTTACAGGGGAATGAAAATGCCAACTAAATAATCTAAGTACACATTTGGAGTGTAAGTTGGAGTTGAGATCCCACCAAAGCATCCACTAATCCTTTTAGTCCAGACACACCAAACCTTTCTTATCATTCCTAAATAACATTCCATCCACNAAAAAAAATTAAAAAAATGAAGCCAATCCATTCTAACTAAAAGTAATTATCATGTATCTCCAAGTAACAACTGCCATAACTTCTAAGCAGTCGTTTGGTGCGCAAATTGTTAAATCAAAAGGTATATTTTAAAAACTATAACTGCTGCCATGCCTTACTCCCAAGCAACTCAAAAGGTTATATTATCTAATACGAAGCTAATAAAAAAACATAACAAACATATACTATCACCTTCCCCTTTTAGTTTGTTTTTTGCATATCCAAAAATTGGATTCTAACAGAACAGAATCTCTTACCATAAGTCCCTCAAGGAAGCAAAAAAGAATTAGATAGTTAAAAGGACAAATGACTCAATCCCAAATGCACCTTCTTTCTCTTTATCTCTATTTTAGCTCAATAATAAAAAACGACTATGCCTCATTCCCTAATTAGTTGGGGCCAGCCATACAAATTATCAGTATCCATTTCGCTCTATTTGGACCCAGTCATTCCAATATTCAAGAATTTAGGTTTTATAACACCAGAAATTCTCTACATTTTCTACTGACATAAAGATTTCAAACAAGATTAAAAAGACCCCTAGCAAACATTGGACATATTACTCACTAGGCCAAGGATGCATCGAAATCCCTCATTAATCAGCACTTGGAAAAGAAATTGCACAAAATCTCCTTATCAATGAAAGTAACAGTTTTTGGGTCAAAATCACTACCTAAGAAAATACCCTTTATTATAATCCACAACTAATAAAGCTAACAACGAAGCAGAGGTACGTGGAGGTACATAGAGAGTACAGAACAATAAGGATTACCAGATATGAAAAGCCGGACCTGATTGTGCAGACAGTGAGTGTAGCAGCGCTTGAGCCAACGACGGAAAATTCTCTGCTTTTGTAATTCTCCGGTCGTCGTTTCTCTTTACTATTGGAGTAGGAGTATTATTATTTTTGAGCAAACAAAGTCCTAATTAATGTTCTTTCTCCCGAAGAGTCCGTACTGTTTATTTATTCCACTTTGTGTCTCCTGCACTTACCCTGGAGTTTCAAAAGCGGCTAAAAGCACCCTTAATTATTGGGATTTTTATTTTATTTTTCATCTGATATCCAATTACTCGTATTAGGATCCCAACTAATTCGGATTCGTGATGTATAACAACAATAACAACAAAAAACTCAATAAAATTTCACAAGTAGCGTCTGGGAAGGGTAGTGTGTACGCAGACCTTATCCTTATCCTGGGAGGTAGAGAGGTTAGGGGTGGACGTTCGGTCGGTTCGGTTCGGTTTGAAGAAATTCGGTTCGGTTATTTGGTTTTCGATTTTGTAAAAGTAGTAACCGAACTGAAATAAGTTCGGTTCAATTCGGTTTTTTAATTTCGGTTTGGTTTATTTCTAATCGGTTTTCGGTTTGAACATTATCATATTGGGCTCTCTCTGTATAATAATTGGACTGACGAATTTGTTGGTTTTCTTTCAAAATTTCGGTAAGTTAGAATAAAATGGTAAGTTTGGATTGGGTCTTTGATGGACTTCAAAATTGGGCCTATATTATTACCTATGGGCTTAGCCTATATATAACTTAAAGAATCTATATGCTAATAATTCGATTTTTCAGTTAGCCGAACCAAATAAATTAATAACCGAAAACCGAACCGAAAAATTGAAATTTTAAAATTTTAAATTGAAACCGACCGAAAAAACCGAATAACCGAAACCGAAATAAAAATATTTTCGGTTCGGTCGGTTTCTTCAGTTCGGACCGAAATATGCCCACCCCTAAGAGAGGTTGTTTCCGAAAGATCCACGACTTGAGAGGATGAATAAAAAATAATCAAATATCAACAACAATAGCGAGAAAATGATAACAACAATGTAAAAACTAGAAGAAAAAATTAGATGGAGGAAAGAAATAGCACTAGTAATAGGCAGCAATAGCGATAATATACTAGAAAACCGAAGCGGAAGATAGAAAGAAATAGCCGTAATACTAGCAATCTAGGAACAACGACAAGATGCTACTAGACTAGCCCCAAACAACATGGTTAGGATAAAAAAAATGCCCGACTACATGCTATCCGTCTACCCTAATTATCGACCTCCGCACCCTCCTGTCAAGGGCCATGTCCTCGGTGAGCTGAAGTCACGCCATGTCTTGCCTGATCACATCTCCCCAATACTTCTTAGGTCGTCCTCTACCTCTTCTCATACCCAATGAAGTCAATCGTTCACACCTCCTAACTAGGGCATCTAGACTTCTCTTTTTCACATGCTCGAACCATCTAAACCTCGCTTAGGTATAAAATCTATTAAAGAGAAAAGTGCTTCGTACCAGAAATTTTTACATGGAGTCGAACCCCAGATTGATTAAGGGTGGACAACTAACCTATTCAACCACAACTCTTATAAAATTAATTTTGATTCAAATTGTGATTATTTAATTCTGTATTTAATTAAATTTTTATCTTCCGATAATAAGCAATACTTATTGTTTACCCGTAAAATGGTACAGTTAAATTTATACATGGTTTCTAGACAAGTGAACTAATTTGATCCTGAAATAATACAATAATTAAAAAAAATGTACAATACTTAGCCTTAAAATGTAGATGAAACAACAGAGTTTTCGGGCATAGCAATGATGAGATCAAAAAGCAAAAAGTAAAATTGTATTAAGCTTTGTATAGAATGTGGTGTAAGTTTTGCCAAAAAATTCTCCCCCCTTACAATGATAACTGAGTTCACTATTTATAGTTGTGTCTAGGAAAGTAGGTCCTAGGATCGTGCCCTCCTTTAATGTCAATTATGAGGGTTATTGATGAAGATGTAACGGTGAATATAAATGCCAAATTCTCTGTAACGGGTCAACGCTCTTAATGTTGTAGAATATTCCTTATTAAATACTACCGGGCGCAGAGCATTTAATACACCTTTATGAACGTTATCCCTTCCGGTGACAAGCGGAATGACTATGTTCGGTCTTCGGCCATCCCTGTCTAGGGTTTCGCGTGTCTTTCCTTTAGATGACCACGTGTCATATCATATTTCACCCTATACAGATAGTCCCCCTGCTTTTCGGTGACATAACTTTGTGTTACTGGGAAGTTGGTAGAAACACTCCTTTTGCGGGAATTACTATAACTCCCTCCGAAGGCTTCTGACGGTTGATTAGACGCACGTCTCTCCGCATTTAATGCCCCAAACACGTGTTATCCCACGATTCAGCACAACTTTTGTCGATTATCGAGGTAATCATGGCCATGAATTTAGCCGCCAAAATGTTACTTACACGCATCATTCTTTTATTTTGCACTTCATATTTTCTCGAATTTCTGATTTGCATCTTTGTTCTCTATCCTTTCTCTAATTCTCTTCAAACAAAAAACATTTTACTTCTTATTATTCAATGGCTTCTTTTCCAAGCGTGTCAGTTCTTCAAAGAACAAGAACAAAGCAGAGGACTCTGCTCCTTCAACGGTGGGTTCCATTATCCCAAGAAGACTCAGTACCACAAAGGACTTAGAAGAGAAATTCCCTACTGCTAACCCTCTTACATGAGCTGTTAGTAGGTACCCTTCTTCCATTCTTCCTTCCAGTATTCCTGCTGTAAAGGAAGACTGCCGCTGCCATGAGTTGGATATCATTGCTTCTGATCTATCGGAGCGAGTGACCCTTCCCAAGGAAGGTTTCACATACTTTTACATGTATCCCTTTACTTTGGGTGCGTTTTCTTTGAGTGAAAGGCTTGATTCCGTGATTGTGAAATTTTGCCTTCGCTTCCAGGTATGTTTGGCACAGGTAAGTCCTTCAGTGTGGAGGATGGTCGCCTGCCTTCGACACTTGTGCCAGGAGACTGGAGAGGAGCTAATCTTAGCTCATATGATGAATCTTTATTCTCCCAAAATCTTCCACGGGGGAATGATAAACCTCTGCAAACGAGACCACCATGCTTTGCTGTCTAGCATGGATGATGACAACGACCATGGGAGGATGGAACGGTTCGTTGTAGTCGCCACCAATGACATCATTCCAGCAACGACTTCATCCTTTCCGGTCGTTTGGAACCGCACTCGTAAGCTTTTTGTTTAATATTGCCTTTTACTAAATATTTTTCTATAGCCGTATAGATCCTCCATCCTTCGTTTTTTTAGCAACTCGATGGATCTCGCCGGTGATGAAAGGTTTGGACCGGCGGGTTCAAAAGATCTTAGACGTCACGACTCCCGAAACTCATTTGTGGAAAGAACTGGCCCTTAAATACGGGTGGAAGGCCAAAAATCATGGTAATTTTAACTTACCTTGCTTCCATCTTTTTTTATATATGAAGAACTTGGTTGAACCTGTAACGACCCGGCCGGTCGTTTTGAGAGTAATAGCCCAGATCCCCTATTAACTGCTTCCCCCGTATCCTTTTTTGCTTATGTGACTTGTCAGGAGGTTTTATTTTTGGTTTCGGAGTATTTTGGGACACTTAGTCCCTAAACATAAGCTTAAACCTTAGAATTTTGACCGTAGTAGAAACTGTGTGAAGACGACTCCGGAATAGAATTTCGTCGGTTCCGTTAGATCCATTGGGTAATTTTGGACTTAAGAGCGTATCCGAAATATGAATTGGAGGTCTGTAGCTGATTTAGGCTTGAATTGGCGAAAGTCGAATTTTAGAGGTTTTGACCGGTAGTGGACTTTTTGATATCGGGGTTGGATTCTGATTTCGAAAGTTGGAGTAGGTCCATAATGTTGAATATGACTTGTGTGCAAATTTTGAGGTCAATCGGACGTGGTTTGGTAGGTTTCGACATCGGTTATAGAAATTTAAAGTTTCAAGTTCATTAAGTTTGAATTGGAGGGTGATTTTTGTTTTTAGCGATGTTTGATATGATTTGAGGGCTCGACTAAGTCCGTATGATAATTTAGGACTAGTTGGTATGTTTGGTTGAGGTCCTGGGGGCCTCGAGTTGATTTCGGATGGTTAATAGATCAAATTTGGTTTTGGGAGAATAGCTGAAGCTACTGCACCTGGTGTAATCGCACCTGTGCAACATTGACCGCAGATGCGAGCCCGCAGATGCGAGCTAATGGACGCAGGTGCGGTTTGGAAGGAAGAGTCCAGAGGTCGCATGTGTGTAGGTATAACCGCATCTTCGCATCCACAGATGCGGAAGATGGATCGCAAAAGCTGAAGGGGCCAGGGCGTGAGGGATCGCAGAAGCGGAAGAATTCCGTAGGATCGGGTGTCGTAGGTGCGACTATGGGCCGCAGGTGCGAGATTTCTGGACAGAACACTTAAATGCAAGGGTTCACGATTTTTTCTCATTTTTAACATTTTGAGCTCGGGTTTGGCGATTTCTTGAGAGCATTTTTGAGGGATTTCTTGAGTTAAGTCCCTTATGCTTATTTTTGATCAATAATCTTGCTTCCCCATTTTTTTCCACCTAGTTAGTATTTAAGGTGGAATTTGGGAGTTGAGACTAGGGATTTGGAGAGTTTGATTTGAGGATTTTAAGGACCATTTGGTGTCGGATTTTAGTAAATTTGATATGGTTAGACTCGTGAGTGAATGAGTGTTCATATTTTATGACTTTTACCCGATTCCGAGGCGTGGGCCCGAGTCGACTTTTTAGGATGAATTTTAGAATTTTTGTTAAAGTATTGATTTCATTAATTAGATGAGCATATTATAGTTGTATTTATGATATGCAATTGTGTTTGGCTAGATTTGGGCCATTCAATGTCAGATAATTGAGGAAATGGCATTCTTACGGATTGATTGAGCTTGGTTCGAGGTAAGTGGCTTGCCTAACCCCTTAGGATTTGGTACTGTTATGATGTGTGAGCGCCGTGTACGTGAGGTGACGAGTACGTACACGGGCTATTTGTTGTAAAACCCGATTTATTATACTGAGTAGTAATTTGTTTTTTCTTTAATTTGAGTTATGCCGTTTAAATGAGTATTAGTCTGTTTTCATTCTTAATTG